CTTCTTAATCTTAGTTCCAATAAACCTAATTGATATTGGTTATCCTCTCAGATTTATCTAAATATCTAGAACCAAGTTCACAATGACGGCCAGACACACGAACATTAGAAACTAGAATAGATTAAGCACAAAGATTAAGAACTAAACATGACATGCAATCAGTTAATAATCAACAAAATACTTTGGAAATAATCATGTCATGGCTTCATCATAAACCTTAGAAAAATAGTTAGTTACACATATCATAATAAAAATCACAAAAGAAATCATGGAAAAAGATAAAACCCAAAAAAGAATGGTAAGAACACACTAAACGGCCTTCCTTCACTTTGGACGAATTCCCTTCTGTGTATTTCGTTTTTCCCCCCATCTCAAGATAGCCTTTGGTACTCTATTTATTCTAATAATATCCTAAAAAGTCTGATAAAAACTATCCTAAAGGAAAACAGACTCCTAAGTACAAAATAGGAAAGAGTCCTTCTTGACTTGGGAAACAGGGCATCTGTCTTGCACGCCAGATTTGGGGTCGATTTATTTTTTGAAAAGTTCTGTAAAAATATGGGAAACGTAGCTTGATCTCTTATCTTTTCAAGAATATGTCGTACGCCACTAGGAAAAATCGGAAAAGCCTTCAAATCTTCATTCCCCCACAGCTGCGCAGTTCTGACGGGACAGTTACTACTGCAGGATTGATTTGTAAAACTGGAATGTTTGACTCCATGAAAAATTACGAAATTTGGATATAATGATCTTCCACCTCTTAGATTTCTTCTCCAATTGGCCTTGCATCAAAACTCCTCCGGAAAGTCGAATTATCATCAAAAACGTCTTGCATGCACAGATTGGCTGAAACAGAGAAAAGGAAAGTAATAAGGCTCTTTTAAGACCAATTCCTTAACAAAACTTAAGGAGAATTAACCTGAAAATGTGATAAATAATGCACCTATCAAAGGTATCTGAAAGTGGTAAGCTCCGAGAGTTGGAAAATGCCATGTTTGCATCCCAGAAGTGCATAGACATGGAACCAGATGATGAACCTCGTAGTCTTAGTCTTAGTCCTAGTTACTTCTGGGTGTCATTCATGTTCACAGGAGGTACATCTTCGATCGCTCTTGTGATCTACATCTTTTGTTCATGTATGTCTCTGTCTGAACATAAGGTTATCTGGAAGTTAATGACGGTTGTATTGAAACACTGGGGGAACCAAAAGAGGAGGTTCTCAAGAAAAGTAAGTGATATTGCAGGAACTAAACCAACGAATTCTCCAAACGCACCTATGAACTGCAAGCTGCTCAATTCTAGACGTTCTACAGAGGCCATATTTCTTTCATCTCAAGAAAATTAAGCACATATACTCAAGGATTTTCTTCACTTTCTACTAACTAGCCATGCTCTCATCCAAGTCCACGATCCATCAATTTGCATGGTAAATTACATTTTGGTACAAGTTCCGTGCCCAAATCACGTTTTGTACATTGTACTTCATTTTTTATTGAAATAATCATAGTTAACAAATTGCAATTAACCGTTGATTGAGGTGATACGTTTTTCGCCTTACAAATTACATTCGGTAGTTCAAGTGGTAATTCAATTTTCCTTTTGGAACACTTTATATATTCCAATGGCAATAGATGAAACTATGGAACGTGGTCAGTTGTCATCACTCATCACTTCCCTTTCTTTCTATATCAATGTGTTTTTTTAACATCTTTACGCGTTCTCTTTTTTGGGCCATTTATCATGATATATACAAAGGCAGGGCCCTCTGTGCTCCTTCCACGTGCAATGCTTTGTATTCATATTTTGCAGTCCTTCCCCTTCTCCCCTTTCCTGCTATACGGTACTTCAACATTTTTGGGATCCAAAAAATATATAATTAAAATAGGAAGAAAGATAGAGGATTATTATTGTATTCAATTAGGAAATTCTTTTAGCTGTGAATGGTAAAGGAAATGCACATGCAAACCACTAATCAACATATATTCGTTATATGGCTTAGTGGTAAGGATGCTAATTGCGGATTCCCAATAAATAAAAAAATGTGGGAGGTTTTGAGTTCGATGCTCCGAGCTGGTAAGTCTGTTTGACTGTGGCCACCAGCAAGGTGAAATTCCCATAACCTCTCTGGGCCCAGAAGAGGTGGAGAACCGTGACTTACTACTAGTTGTCCTCCTTTTAAAAAAAGAAGAAGACATATATTCGTTATATATGATTAATACATAATGCTTCAAGCCTGTGCTTCTTGGGTTTAAATCCTTTATCTCCTTTTAGGGTTTTTTGGGTTTAAATCATTCGTCTTTTTTTACTGTATGTTTTTATACAATGATATATTAATATCAAACTTACTATGCACAAGATTTGAATCTAAAATTTATAAGTTAAGAAGTATATTTTTTATTTTCAAACAAAGGTTTAGTATGTGTAAACCCTAACTTCACGGCATTGACATATTTGACTTTTTATAAATTGATTATTGACTAATGGTGAAACGAATTAGGATTATGTGTTCTATACATTATCGAGTGGATGATTTAAAATGAATTAATGCATGTAGATGGGGTACGCATCTGTGTGACAAACTATTGGATCAAGTACTTAACATGCGTTCTAACTTTTCCACTAATCATTATTAGTGTCTCCTAAGTACTTTCATTAAAAAACAACATGACTGCCAACATAAAGATAATGGAAGATACCAAGAAAATTGTCATCCATTTGAGAGAAAGAGGGGCAAAAGGGGTCTCTCAAACCCTCCCATGTGAGGTTTATTTGGGGACAAAGCAAACAAAGGTGGGCTCTTACTAGCAATTCACATGGGAGGAGGAGGACATGATTCTAAGAAGCTCTCCTTTCTTTTCACAGCTCATCCTCTATAAATTCCTACATCCTTCCACTATATCTTTTATATTACCCAAATAGGACTTTCTCCTATGTAATTAGTTCCACACCCAAAACTACTTGTATATACATACTTAAAAATCACGACAATTTATGAATTAATATAGCCATTTGATCATACAATAGTGGTCATTTTTAGAATTGGTTCCCATATGGATGCATTTTTTGGGGATCCTAGGGATCTTCGCATCTTAGACATTCATCTTGTATCGTGTGGTCAGAAATCATTTGAATTTTTTTATTTAAAATTAAACACAAATAGTATCTAACGAAAATTGACCGTACGATGTACGATAAACGGCTAAGATGTGGGGATCCCTAGGATCACCACAAAATGGATCCGGAGAGGATCCTCTTCCATCATTTTCCATTCTTTTTAAAAAAAAAATAAAGTTATTAGGTGTTATTAATTCAGATGTCATAGCATAGATGGACGATGAAATAATACTTTATAATTTATTATCAATAAATATAACGTGTTGCAACATTGGTCGAGCCACACTACCTGATTAACGGTGTAATAGTCACATCATATGACAATGTTATGATCAGACCACATGTCAGTATTGGGTAGCACTCTCTCGTAATGTTACTAATATATGTGTTATATAGTAAAAATGAGCGGCAATTTATACTTTAGGGAATATTTTAACTAATATCACATGTTATAATATCGTTAGATTAATCACACAATTTGACAGTCTTTATTATAATCATACCTTGGACGGTTTACAATCACACTAAAAAGTCTCTACAAGAAGCAAATCGAGGTAGATACTTACAAGAAAATAGTGCAGAAAAATCATTCCCCATTACTATTATGGTGTGCTTGTTTTCCCTCACTCATTCATTGGACTGGACTAAGTGTTAGCATCGTCCCATGTTTGTTATCCACAGGTATTAACTTTAATGAGACTTGGAGGAACTCACCTCGACTAAATGCCTTGCTGGACGGTCTTAGCAAGACCCCCCTTGAAATCGAGTGGACTACTAAGACCATCTCTGCTCTTCGCTTCTCACAGCCATTTTCAAAACCATATGGCGCTGTCGTTCTGGTACCTCACACATAAAAAAATTAGAAAAAATACCCCCAAAATTGGGGGAAAAAAAATTACAAAATTGTTTTGCGTCTGAAACCAAAACGCACATCAGTAAGCAAGGAGAGCTGAAGGTTCCAGAGAAAAATAGGGCAGAAGGCGCTGAGTCGTTCCAATGCCTCCAGAAGACAAATAGCGGCATGGGTTCTATCTCTCTGAAACCAAATCGCGCAGTCGTTCCAGTGTCTCCAGAAGCTTTCTGCTACTAACAAGAAGTTAACCTACAACTGTTGATTGTTTGATTTGTTCGTTTTTTTTGGTTGTGAGAGGGGGAGCTTTTGTCGGGCAGTGAGGAGAAGGCAATTCTGGATGGTGTGGAAAAAAAAAAAAAAAAAAAAAAAAAAAAAAAAAAAGAGAGGAAACAAAAATAAGAGAAAAGAAAAGAAAAGGTAAAGAGAGGGGACAGAGAGTAAATTAAAAATGAAATATATATATATATATATATGGATCACAATATTAATTTAGTCATTGGCTTAGCCGATATTGCAACTTAATTCATGCCAAACGAATCCAGCTTAATTCTTAAAATTAATCTACTCTGAGATAATCCAATGTAATAAACGGACCATTAGATCCCACAAATCGATTGCAATCAAAATTCATCCCCAAGATAATTAACAAAAATGGGCCATATGTCCCATAGATTTTTGCATCATTATTGTATCCAAAGGATAAAAATTGCTCAATAATGCTCTACAACTACAAGTAACTTCAAACTTGTAAACATATGAATCATCTTTTGTATATACAGTGTAATACAGAAGTGATATATGTACATACACACTATATATCAAGTGCTTCAATTCATTAAATAATAGGATAAAGATATGGTATATACTATAGTTATAATATCCATACATCTATAATGTCAAGGAAAACTAATGTAATGGGGTGGAGACTGGAGAGGGAGAAGGGGCAGGAAGAGGTGTCATATCGGCACGTGGGGTGGGGGCTGATTCCCTTCAGTTAATAAACTATGCAGAGAACGCAGTGGTGAGAGACTTTTTCCAGTAGTGAATCGAAACCCTTTTGGAGGGAGTCCCACCCCAATCCTCCCCACCTTCTTCCCTCCCCAGCTGTTGCTAGCTGTCGCTAATATCCCCACCCCCATGTGACCCACCTCCCTCCCTCTCCAAAACCTCAGGGCCTTAAAAAAATGTCCCCAAAAATCCAAAGAAAATGCCACTCATTCATTTATGTTTATGATTATTATGCTAGCTGCATGTTGCATTCGGATTCCTGCTCTTCCTGCAGCTGCCCATGTAATCCTGCTGCCCTGCTCACTTCCCTTTAATATCTCTCTTTACTCTTTTTTTAGGACTGCCCTAAAGATTAAGGGATCATTGCAGCTGTAAGTTGTTTGTTGGGTTGGTTGTTGGTGGTGTTTCTCTTTTCTTTCTTTTTTGTATTTTTTTTCTTGGGATTTGGTTCTGGCTTTTGGTTTTGGGTTTTGGGTTTCTCTCTCTAATAACACATATATTTTAGGGTACCCTATATTTGGTTGGGGAGGTCACATTGAGAGAATGGCACAATTACCTCCTAAAATACCAAGCATGACACAGAATTGGCCATCCTTCCCTCACCAAAGGCTACCCACCATGGCCAATTTCATCCCCACCACCACCACCACTTCTGCCGCTGCCGGCCAACCCTCGTCCAACCAACCGAACCAACAACAACAACAACAATCCCCGTCATACAATTGGATCGACGAGTTCCTCGACTTCTCCTCCGCCAGGCGCCGGGCGCACCGGAGGTCGGCTAGCGACTCCATTGCCTTCTTAGAATCCCCCCTGATACTTGACGAGGAATGCAGGAACTCCACCGCCACTATGATTCATCATCACGGATCGACCAACAACCTCGGCTTCGACAGGCTAGACGACGAGCAACTCATTTCCATGTTCTCCGATGACATGTCGGTGACCGTGCCGCCTACCGTCTCGTCTTCCAGCCTGTCCACGCCGTCCGACCAGAACAGCAATAACGACGAAAACAATATTAACAATGACAATAATAATAACAAGAAGCCATTGATGGTTCATCTGGACCAGCAGCAGCCGAAAACCGAGCCTGGAGAGGTTGAAAGCTCGTCGTGCGAGGCTGACGCTAATACTCAATCTCATCCGCCACCACCAACGTCCCCGGCTGACCCCAAGAGGGTCAAAAGGTAATTTCACAACAATGTATTTCATTAACAATTTTGTTACAGGATTTTGCATGCATGGTTTGGACAATTAAACCAGATCTGTCACGTAAAAAATAAGATCTGCAAAATTAGTTGCCGCCAAATTGTCCTTAATTTATGTTTGGTGCTATCTACACAACCTTTTTACCTTCCTTACACCTCTTAATTTTCAACTGTTTGATCGAATGAATTGAAAAATATCAAAAAACAAAATTAACAAATAGTATATGGAAGGCAAAAGGAGGCGTGTGGATAGCAACACTCTTAATTTATAACTACATAGCTTATTTATTAAAACAACTTCTGGTTGTGATGGTAGGATTTTGGCAAACCGGCAATCAGCACAGAGGTCGAGAGTGAGAAAGTTGCAATATATTTCAGAGCTTGAACGCAGCGTTACAACATTACAGGTATACAAGAAGATCAATTAGTTTGCTTTGCTTAATTCCTCATCATTTAGTTTGCTTTGCTTAACTCCTTATCATTGGTAATAAATTTGGTTTGGTGAATAATTTAATTAATTAAACTTGTTTGTGTTGTGATTAAGTCGGAGGTATCGACACTGTCACCAAGGGTTGCATTTCTAGACCACCAGAGGTTGATTCTAAACGTTGATAATAGTGCTCTCAAGCAACGGATTGCTGCTTTGGCTCAGGACAAGCTTTTCAAAGATGGTAATTAAGATATGAGTTTAAAATAAACCATGATTAATTATTGTTTAATTAGTGTTGTGAAGATAATGCATGCATCTTCACTTTATGGTGCTTTTTCTCCCCACTTGAGAACAAATTCACAGGAATATCAGCAAAAGTCCTTTCTTTCCAATCACTGTCCAACTTCCTTAATTTGAAAAAGTATTGATTTAGACCTTTTAATCCCTTCAAACAAAAAGTGGAAAGCATATTTGTGTTTTTATTCAATATTCTATGCATTATTATTATTAACCTAATTGTTATTAGTTGTTTTTCGAACATGGGTAAGAGTAAAAATATGCTAATCTCAAAATTTATTACACACTTAACTTAGCTAAGTTGACTAGATCAGTTTTTTCTTCTGTATCAAAGTCTTAATATATCTCTCATAATTTTGACAACTTTAGTCTAAAATTTCGTATTGTTATATGGGAACATAACCAAATATAACATGAATTTTACACAAATCCCAATAATTTATTCTAACTTTTATTTTGATCTTGACTTTTTTTTCAGCTCATCAAGAGGCACTAAAGAAGGAAATAGAGAGGTTAAGGCAGGTCTATCACCACCAAACCCTAAAGAACATGGGTAAGCAAGGAAACCAAAACTCACAGCAGCATCAAAAGCAACAGCAACAGCAACAGCAGCAGCAGCAATCAAACCCAGACATCATGGTCTGTACGGATCACAATGAGCAGCAAATTCTCAATTGAAGCTGAAGATTTGATGATATAATATAATGCAGCATGCAGATGCATAAATGATATAGTGGCATTCCTCAAAAAACAAATGATATAGTGGCATACAATGCTGACTTTGGCCTTACATTCACGTGTAGTGCTTCCACTTGTATGCTTTCTATGTGGGACCCGTGACAAGGTTGTGAGATTGTAGGCTATAACATGGACACGTGGACTGCTTGGATTGGATGCTGAAAACAATTGTTTTTTTGTCAGTAATCAGTTGCTTTTGTTGGGAAGGTTGGCCACTTGGCTTTGTTTTTTAATTTTTTTCTTTTTTTTCAGATTATTATTTTCAGATTTCTTTGTTCTTTTTAACTTTTGATTAATTTTTGGAAGAATGGTGGGGATTTTTTTTTTGGAAAACTAATAAAAATGGTTTGTAAACTTGGAGTTTTAATGATAAGAATAAAATAAAGGGTAAAATGAATATTACCATGATTGACTTTTTAGTGTAAAAATATAATTTTTCGTTAAAATAAACAGTACCGGAAACTTTTCGTTAAAGTTCCTTTTTTTCCCTCGGCAGGGAGGAGGGATCTATAACATTGAAGAAGAATTGGTCCGGGGAGGAGTGGTCATGTCTGAGTCTAATTGTTGTATCATTTTTTTTTCTTTCCCCTATCGACTAATAAGATGTTATGCCATTTGTTTATGTTATTTGATTCTTTTGGAAGAAAAGTATATAAATTCAGTTAGGTTAGAGTAGTGTGTTTTCTATTGTACGTACATAAGTTTAAATTCCCTTCTTGCTTTAAATGACTAATTCAGTGTAGCATCTCTTATATCAAAGGAAAAACAAAAAACAAAAACAAACAAACCTTTTTGGAATTTAAGAGTGACAATCGACCAATAATCATGGACGGAGCCAATGAAGGCTCACTAGGGGCAGATGCCCCCACTCAAGTAATTCGTTTGTTTAGTTGCAGACTACAATTATATAATATACACGGGTTATCTTTGAAGAAAATATATGTATCTAATATTCAACGTACATTCATTATATTTATACTCCATATCAAATATTATATGAGCAATAGTGCTCTTGTTCTGTCATTCAAACCAAAAAAACTCACTCCTGCCTGTCATGTACTTATATTTTTCTCATCACTTTGTCATTTTCTACTACTATATTGAAATTTTTGTAACATTGGAATTGTGATACATCATCATTTGAACTCATCCTTAATACAATATTATGTATAACCATACTATAATAAGATTTTCTTAGTTGTTTTCGGTTGCCCCCCACTAAAAGAAATTTCTGGCTCCATCCTTGCCAATAATGCATTATTTCGAGTAACATCGTTTCAAGTATGACTAGAACTAGCCCAAAAAACTTAAGCTGCCAAGAAATCTCTTTGCCACCGATCTGGCTTTGTATCTTTCTAAGCATACCTGATCTTCGCTTTAAAATGTAGAGTACCATTTCATGCAGTCCATTTTAAAATACAGTACTCAATCTAGTATTATTGTCCTAGCCAGACAACCTAACGAGCCCTGCTAGCATTCAACAGTCAAAGACTAGTGTCTCTAAGCTGTTCGAACGGTCATGTTTTACCTACAACGCCGTTCGAGCGGTAAACAAGCAATTTTGTTGATCTTTAAAATTTAAACACCAACTCGTGTCAATTTATGAGGATGTTGCAAAACTCTCTTAAACTTGACAGACGCTTCAAAGTAAAGAAAGACTTATTCATTGCAGAGTGCTTTACAGGGCCGGCCCTGAGAATTTAAGGATCATGTGCAAGATTTAGATTGAGGCCCTTCATTTTTTAATGTTGTATTTTCTTTGTTATTTTTTTTTTAATTTGTATCTATAAAATTTAAATACTACAAATTAAAGCACCACTTTAAGTGAACAAGAGTGTTTCCTGTCTTGAAAGGTCTTTAGTTCAAAATATGTTGCATGATTTTTTGTGTAAAACTTATTAACTTTTCTTTGTTATTTTTTTTTCAATTTGTATCTATAAAATTTAAATACCACAAATTAAAGCACCACTTTGAGTGGACAAGAGTTTCCTGTCTTGAAAGGTCTTTAGCTCAAAATATGTTGCATGATTTTTTGTGTAAAACTTATTAACTTTTTAAGTTAATAAATTTGCAAAACTTAAAAATACCAAAATAGTTCTACAAGGACTCGCACCTGGACCATGTACAAGAAGATTGAAGGCCTATACCACTAGCACTGGTGTGGTGATTATTATTATTTTGCAAATTTAAGTATATAATAGGCATCTGTTTACATGTAAAGAAACTTTGGGGGCCCATACGAATCCGGGGCACCTTTTGCACACCCTCAAGGCCGGCTCAGGTGCTTTAATACAGAAGTGGATACAAATAAGCATATTTGGTACACTTAACACTTTTTATAGTACTATGTACTCAGTAGGATTGTATTTGCTTAGTCTTTGTATGAACTATAGTTTCCATTCGTCTAAAGCAGCCACGGCAGTCTCCACTTTAATCCTCTTTCTTCCCATTCTGGACATCTCCGTCTTCAGCATTCATCCTTCCACGCGTAAAATGTGATTTCAGTCCAGTCCAGCACTGGTAATAATCACGATCGATGACTGGAGACTCGAGAGCCCATGTGCATACTCTGGGGATTAAACACGATTCAAACATAAAAGCCAAAGTATCGGTGATTCTGAATGGTCCTGCCTCATTTCCACGCGCAATGGTAGCCTGTGAGTCCAACAGAGTCGGTGTTAAGCAAGGACTGATCATTGAGCACTTACAAGTTACGGTTATTGTATGACTAACAAGTGAAAACCGAAATCCAGTCAACCACATCAGCTCGGTGAAGTCACCCTAAAAAGAATTATTTCAGCGAACATCAAGCAGTTCTTTCCGTACTACTAGGAAAAAAAGGTGCGAACATGTAGTTTGTTTTCCTCTGTATCCATCACAAGAATATAAATTGCACCACCCCTAATTTCTCATCCACAGTAGACTGGCTCTACTGACATCTCCACAGGATTCGAACTACGGAGTAAGGACAAAAGAACAAAGCTCTGTGCTAAAATTGAAATGGGAGAAGAAATAGCATCTTTTATTTAGGTTTACCTCATATGTTTTGGTATCAGGACCATGGGGAGTCATGCAGCTATGAAGGCTTGCACCACCAGGAAGAAAACCATCCGCTTTTGCCTGAAAACAAGAATACGTATTAATTCTTCCGTGCTGAGTCTAACATACAGACGATCCTCAAACCTTGCAACAAAAAGAAGACTACCCGTCTAGTGTCACGACAACACATTTATTGCATCTCATAGTATCTAACTAACATTTTTAATATACAATGCAGCTGCTTTCTCCATGCATTTATATAGCAATACTAGGAGGGTTTCTTTTCCGCCCTAGATTCAGTTTCAAAGCAGAAGGTATGTAGAGCTCCTTCAAACCCTCAAAGTTTATATTTAGATACCTAGTAGTTAACATGTTCATGGTATTACCTCATATCCACCGTAGATGAGACCCATAAACTCACTCATACAATTACGATGATAGTATGGAGGTCGGAATGTATGCTCAGCAACCAACCATCGCGGAGGGAAAATGACGAAATCAAGTAATGCAACACCAGGTTTATCAGTTGGTGCTGTCAAAACTGCATCACAATGGTATAAGCTCAGTCATAATAAGTGACACATTTTTTACTAATGAAAAATACATGGGGGGAAAAAATAAACGCCATTTTCTATGTACCTGTATTCACTGATGGATCACCGTGATCAAATAAAACAGTGTTAAAGGGGCAGAACGTAGTCAGATCATACTGCAAGAAAATAAGGTTTATTTTTACAAATCGGGTCTCAGGAAGGTGAGAGTACATATACCATAATCATATCGACGAATAAGTTTAGATTAATCATTCCTCTGTGTGATATAAACTAAACAGAGTCAAACAATGATAATAAAAAACAAGATAAAAAAAGGCAACAACTCTTTAAAATATGAGTAGGAAGGTAGCAACAACAATATAACACACCTTATATGGAGTATAATTGCCATGCCAAGCAACTACATTGAAGGGAGAGAAATCTTGCTTTGCAGTAAAGAGTTCACCACCAAATTTCTGTATAATGATGTAGCCGGGTCGGGAACTCTCTTCGAACCACGCAGTGGGAACAAGAAAATCCCTTGGAGCAGCGAGACCATTAGCTCCTACATGTAATCAAAATTACGTTCTCACAGCCTACTTATAATGAAAACACTCAATATAATAACAAACATTCTATTGGATTGAGATTCGAGAACAGCAATCATTCTACACCTGATTCTGTCACTGCTGAAAAGTGAAAACCTAA